GCAGAAATCGAAGTACAAGGCAACTAACAGTATGGGAGGGGAAACATGCTGTGGGGAGATAACAATATTAACAGTAAATCCTAAGTAATCAATCTAGGTGCAATTTATAATTCTCGACGATCAAGAAACTAATACCAACACTAAGCACATTTGTATCACTAATTGTTGCGGCGCGCAACCCGACCCTATTATATTTCAACATTGTTGTGGCGTGCAACCCGATCCACAATTATCACTGTTGCGGCGTGCAACCCTATCTACAATTATTACTGTTGCGGCGTGCAACCCGATCCACAATTATCACTGTTGCGGCGTGCAACCCGATCCACAACGATCACTGTTGCGGCGTGCAACCCGATCCACAATTATCACCGTTGCGGCGTGTAACCCGATCCGTAATGTCTACCTCTCAACCTTGCCCAAGAAACAGTCACAAATAAAGGGCAAGGGAGTGAACGAGTATTTGGAAGGAAATCCCAACAAGGGTACACAACAACCAATAATGACCATGCAAGAGTAAATCGTTATTTCTCTTTTTCTTTCATTTTCATATCCTAGTTCTCATTAGCACTCGTGACAAGCTCCAATGCATTTCTCATTTCATATACTCTCACCATTTATGTTTCAGACCGAGCCAATGCTCCACGAAGTTCCACAATCACAATATCCTTTACAAGGTGTTTACAACGCATAGAAGCCATCAATTAAGCATGGAAGGCATAACAATATCCAAACAGTCCACATACAAGGACTCACGGTCATGCTAGACACCGATGTATAGGAACTCGTCACCATGCCTATACATCGTACTCGATCATTTAGCAGTTAGCAAACAAGACTCGACTCCTATTCCCTCAAGCTAGGGTTAAACCAAACACTTACCTCAACTTCCACGGCCAATACAATCCTCCACAGTCGCTTTCCCTCTCGAATTCGGCTCCAACTCAACCAAATCTATTCAATAAGGACTTCATGATATCAATATGTGCTAAACAAATCAAACCCAATGATTAACTATAGATTTTTCATCAGTTTACCCCAAAAGGTCAAAAATGCCCCCGGGCCCACATGGTCAAAACCCGAGGTTCGAACCAAAACCCGATTACCCATTCCCCCATGAACTCAAATATGTAAGTTATTTTGGAATCGGACCTCGAATTGAGGTCCAAAACCCCCAATTTTAAAAAACCTAGGTTCTACCCTAAATTCCCAATTTCCCCATTAAAATCTTTGTTTTGAAGTTGAAATTATGTTTAAGGATGTTAAGGAGTTTAGAAAATCAGTTAGAAATCGCTTACCAATCGTTTTGAAGAAGTAGAATCGTTTGGAAAATCGCCTCTTATGTTTTAGGTTTTGAAAAAGTGAAAAAAATGACTGAAAATCCCGACTTTATATACTGTACTGAAGACCCGGCGCGGACCGCACAAAAATGCCCCGCGGCCGCGCCGAGAAAGAGTGGGGAAACCACTCTCTGAACCTACCCAGCGCGGACCGCACTGTTTTGGAGCGCGACCGCGCTGGAGGAATGAACCCAAATCCCACTCTCTGAATCTCCCAGCTCGGACCGCGCTGATTAGTCACGCGGCCGCGCTGGTCGACTTGAACCACTGGCCCTCTGAACCTAGCCACGCGGACCGCGCAAGAATGCACCGCGGCTGCGCGGCTTCCAGCGCGGACCGTGCGGAATCGACCGCGGGCGCGCTGGGGGCCTGCAACTCCCTGAACCTGCAACCATCTGATATTTCTAGCCTAAGACCTCCCAGGACCTACTCAAAACTCACCCGAGCCCTCGGGGCTCCAAACCGAACATTCATATAAACTCAAAAACATCCTATAGACTCATATGTGCGATCAAATCGCCCAAACAATATCATAATCATCAAATTAGGCCTCTAGACCCAGGATTTCCTTTCAATTTTACATAAAACATCAAGTTTAGAGTTTTTAGTCCAAAACACGTCAAACGACGTCCAAATTCAACCAAACTTTACAGAAAGTACTCAAACCGTATATAATACTTGTACCGGGCGTCGGAACCAAAATACGAGCCCGATACCACAATCTTTTAATCACATTTCATTTCCAATTTCCTTATTTATTTTCAGAAAACAATTTCACACAAAAATTCATTTCTCGGGCTTGGGACCTCGGAATTTGATTCCGGACATACACCCAAGTCCCATATTTTCCTACGGACCCCTCCGGGACCGTCAAATCACGGGTCCGAGTCCGTTTGCCAAAAACGTTGACCGAAGTCAAACTTAATCAACTAAATACCAAGATTTAACAATTTTTCTCACAAATTTCATATTTAAACTTTTCCGGCTACACGCCCGAACTGCGCACACAACTCGAGGCAACCCCAAATGAGGTTTTCAGGGCCTCAGAAGTACAGAGGGAGTAGGAATACAGGTGATGACCCCTTTGGGTCGTCACAGTTTAGGACCCAAAAGCATGCTATACTTGGATTATTTGTAATCTTATTGACAGTTGAATTGCTTAAATCACACCGAAGTAACAAATTAATTTCTAAAAAGATTTGAACTTCATTTCTTAAATTGTTAAAAGGAGAATTGGTTTTCTTCAGATAATTGTTTCCTGATGACTTCTTGATTGACTGTCTGTTTGTGTTTATCTTCTGGAACGGGCCGAACGCCTCGGTAGATTAAATAGATGCATCTATGGTTCGCGTCATTCGACCATCTGGCAGTGCACAGTTTAAATATTGTTGGATACGGCCGTACGTCCTCGGCATGATTTGCGCATGCTTGTATTGCTGCCTTGAACTTATTAAAGTTGTTATTGCCTCTTCCCGGCTTGAGAATATTTGTATAAAGGACTTAAAGAAATTTGGAGATTTCCCATAAAAGAAAGAATTGTTTACTTGCTTCATTCCATTGAATTGCAATCATGTTTATAAAAGTCCACGATTTAATGTATTATTGATATCACATTATTGGACCACTAGTAAGTGTCGAAGTCGACCTCTCGTCTCTACTTCTTCGAGATTAGACGGGATACTTACTGAGTACACGTTGTTTTCGTACTCATGCTACACTTGTTGTGCATTTTTGTTGCACAGGCACATGTACTTCTAGTGGCCTACTGGGCGTAGCAGCATGGATGATACTGGGACTAGGTGAGCTGCATTACTCGAGGCGACCCGCAGCTAGTATAGTCTCTTTCAGTGTATTGTATTTACTATCTGTCCAATTGTATTCCGGACGGATGTTGTATTGTTTGTTTCTTAGAAATAGCTCATTCACTTGTGACACCGGGTTCTGGGGATGTCTATGGGTTTATTCTGAATTTTAAAAGTTGTTAAAAGTTTCATTTCTTATTCAGTGAAATTTATTATGTATAGTTTAAACGTATAAAAGAAGAGATTTCAGAAATATTTAAAACGAGAATTTAATTAAGTAATTTGGTTGGCTTGCCTGGCGGTGGTGTCCCACGCCATCACGACCCTTAGTGGATTTTGGGTCGTCACATTTCCATGTGAATTTTTATTAACTTTCTATTTTATTATCCACTGCTATTTTATATAATATAGATAAATATATGGTTTTTTGATATTAAATTAAATATGTATTTTATTTATAAACTATTGATTAAAATTCTTAAATTATTTAAATTTATCAATAATATGTTTATCTCTTATAAGAATATTATAACTATAAACTATAAGCACAAAAGCAAATAAAGAGTTTCCTCTTTCCCACACTAAAGTTGGGTATAGAAAATACTAACTTGTTATATCCTTTAATTTATATCCTAAACCATAAGCTTTAATGATTTTACCTTGAGTCGGTCATGTTCAGTATAAACACATTAATGGATATTCCATCGAAGATCATTAATTATAATTCTATTTGATGTGAAAGCTAAAAATTTCACGACTAAAATGTACAGTGAGTAGAGCCAGATATGGAAAAAATTAGACTATAACAAGCCGATTATCCTTATGTTACATTAATTACCGTTTCTGCATTTAACATTTATAATATGAACGTAAATTTTTCTGTTTTGGATATTGTTTTTTGTTCGGATACGCGCAAATGTATGCAACGTAGGTAAATAGAGACAAGTCTTTCTTTATTTGATGAATTGAAAGAAATGGACCGCGAAACTTTAGTAGCTCAAACGTAGTACTACTTTTTTCTAAGGTGAAAAAGGGTATTTTAAGTAGAAGTAGAAGCAGTTTTTGAAAAGCAGAAAAAGTAGCATTTCCCAAAAAGTACTCTTTCGAAAAATCCTATTAAAAAAAATATATTTAAAAGCACTTTTTAAACTTTGATAAAATACTAATTATTATTCAAAAGTACTTTTTAAATTAATTAATCAAACATAAATTACTTCTCAAAAAAACTACTTCTAAAAAAAGTACTTTTGGAAAAATATTTTAAAAACTAAGAATTTTTAAGCTTGGCCGAACATGCTAGTCTCCTTGAAGCACTTTTGTTTTTTTTAATACTTTTTCACCTAAACACCAGCTTAATACTCCTTAATTGGGCAGAAGAAATAGTGACCCATTAAATTTGATCCGGGGCAAAACGGGCGAAGTGCATTAGTAGTCACTTTTAGGCCTGTTGTTTAAAATATATTCATAATTTATAATATATTTAAAATTTATCTCATTCATCCAAACTTCAAGACTAAGTATCCTGAATTAGGAATTTATGTTGTTAATTTTTGAGCTGCTAATTTGAAATTCAGGACTATCTGAACTGCTAATTTAAAATTCAGGACATAAGATTCGAACATTTGGCTACAATTTTTAACCTTTAGGACATGATGCCCTGAAGTTTGAACTTTGAGGTTTAAACTTCAGTATGTCGTGTCGTGAAGTTTGAGCGAATTGATTAATTTTTAAATACATTATAAACTATAAAAATATTTTAAATAGCGGCCTTAAAAGTGGTTATTTGGTGTCATTTACACGGGCAAAACCCAGATCAACGAAAGTCCAAATCCAAAACGGAGCCCCAATAAAGCCTTACTTATATATAGGCAGTCGGCTAGCAGTTCCCCCAAAATTCAATTCAACGCATGGAAATTGAAACATCAAGAATCTGATACCCGATTACGGATTACCCCTTTTGATATCCATCAACTTCCATTTTAGAAGATCCATTTGACAGTAATAAGAGTTCAGATTTAAAGGTTTTAAGCGTTAAAGCTACAAATACAGAAAGGGAATTAAGAAGAAATGACAAAGCCGAGTAAAGAGCCATGTAAGAAACAGGCTTGCGACATTCAAGCTTGCCTTTCCAAGAACAATTTCCTTTCTCAAAGGTGTGTTTCCCTCTTTCTCCTCTTCTTTTTTTGTCTCTTTTGTAATTTATTCCTATATTTGCTGTCTTATTATTGTAATACTGTAATATAATTGGTGCTTATTGATGGAGCTCATTTTATATGGTTCTTGAAGTACAAGTTGGTGAATGTCAGGAAATTGAAGCCCTGCAATGGCTCTGATATGAAATTGATGTTTTCTTGACAACTTCAATAAACAAAATCCTCAAATGTTATTTGGGATTTTATTTTTTTAAGTTTATAAATATTGCTGGGGTCTTTTTAGTTTATTTTAGAGATATGGATGCTATAGTAGAAGATGTAGCAAAGGACCCCTAATTTGTCTTAGACCAGGTTATTAAATGTTCAGATGAAACAAGTCCGAATGTAACAAAATGGATATTGAGGATTCATATTGGGGAGATTGATGTGTAGTAGTTGTTGTAAAGAAATTTTATTGAGAGGTAAAGTTACATTACTTGCTTCTTCTAGAGAGTAGAGATAGTTGCTTTTCAGGTAGTTTTGTGTTTGATCATGTGGAAGTGTAGCCTGTTTATTTGCATACTCTAGCTGAGCTGCCACTTCATTTCTACAAGAAAGCGAAATTCGAAGTCCCTTCTTTCCACTGTTTTGTTCCCCTACGTAGTGATTTAGCTAATAGACGATAATCCTTAGAGATTGTATGTCTCCCAAAATAAGCAGATGGTAAACTCCACCTGTTCAGCATTAGGGCTGTCTAGCACTTGATCAATTTTCAGTAAAATATTGATCTTATATTTCCCCAAGTGATCGTTGGAGCTATCCTTCACATACATTCTGAAATCGAGATATTCCTTTGAGCCATTTCATGAACTGAATTAAGAGACATTATAGAAATAATGAGGCTATCAGTTCTAGACATAATTGAAAAACCTGACAATGGATGTCATTTCGTATACTCATTGCTTCATTGTCCCAGGGTTCTTATGTGGCAGGTACTAGAACAAACTTTCTAACCTTACTCTACTACATCTGGCCACTTACATTAGGCCTTGTATTTGTTGGTACTCTTTTTAGTTGGTTTAGAAATTTGTATGATAGTAGAAAATTTTATATATATA